TGGGAAACTTTAGAGAGAATGTGCAATGTGTTTACTTTACTCTCAGTTTGTAATAAATTAAAAAAAAAACAGATGGATTTTATCCATTTTGCTCGTATAGAGTTTTTGCCATTTTAGATCTCCAAGAAATATCCTTTTATTAATCTCGTATTTTATTGGCGCTTTTTCCTCCTTTTGCTCCACTACAGCGATAGAATCCCGTCTTATGAACTAATTTCAATTCACCCAAAATTATGCCCATCCTGTTGGAAATTCCGAGCTCCTTTTATACACTAAATAACGCTGAAATGCGCTGGTAATGTTCCCTAGTCAAGGCGTCGTTCAGGAGGGTCCTTTGAGTTTAGCACCTAGTCGCATTTATTAAAATTCGCGTAAATGCCGCCGGCAAGTTACAATGTCCTTTTTAACTTCCTCTACTAGGACACGAAAGCCTGTTTTTCTTTCGTTTTAATTTGAATTAACGTTTCTTGCTGTTAATACTAATGGACTACTAAAATTGTAGTTTACTGTTAATGGGCTTTATAACTTTGTTTAAGTACCCAAAGCTTCATAAATATTTGTTTCATTCAAATTTATTAGAATAGGCGGCTCTAATTTTTTGAAGTGTAATTAATATTGAATTTGTGAGTGAGTATTGCACCTATGTGTTCGCATAATCGGCTGATGTAAAGGGGATTTTAACCGTTTGATTGGATCTAAATAATGATAGAGAGGTCATTGTACACAAAATCGTTGATTAAACCAATTGAGCGGCTTAGTAATGAAACGAATGCGAGTCGATTGAAGATTAAATGCATGTTTATTTCGTAATTTATACGCAGAATTGGTGTAAACAGCGTTTAATTCGTGTAATAGTGAAGTTTTGTTCACAAATGAGTGATATCTTTGCGATATCAATTGGCAATGAATTGATATGAAATTATCCAATTTTTTACTGTGAATGAGCAATTTATTCTAATTCGGGCAGCGGATCGATTGAACTTCACCTTGGCGAATTGCATAATGAACAGAGAAGAGCCAAAATTAGAATGTGATTTTGGCAGATATAAATTTTATGTCTACATGCAGTCTATGAATATGCATGCTTTAAAATGATTTACTATTGCTATTGTAATTGGGTTTTTTTCGAATACATTTTGACCTTATTACATAATTCTATGTATAGAAAACCCTGTTAAATAGAACGTTTTAAATTCTCTCTAATTTGAATTTTAAAAATAGAAAACACTTGGTTCAAAAAGGTTTAAAAATAAAAAAAAACTGAATAAAACATACGAGTGGTCATTTTAATACTATATTATTTCTAACCGAGGGTGTAAACTAATCCAGTAATTTTGTTCCGCAGGATAACTAAATCGTTATATCGTTCAAACACGAATCAATGCATAAATTTGTACCTCCAAACGAAGCGTTATCCGAGATTGATAAAAAATAAGCAAGAAAATCCCTTTCCGAGCTCCACCTGAATTGCAAATTATCCCGATCCTGTTTCGAAATCCAATGTACATTATTACGAGGCCAAAGTGAACCCAAGGGAATTCTATTGAAAAGGATCGTTATTAGGAAAGCCTTGTTAAAAATTGTTTTATTATTCCTTATTCAACCGAATCACAACTTTAAAAAACGCGTACTCAACAAAGAATTATTCTGAAGAAAATTTAAAGCAAAGTAAAATGATTATGCGACAAGAAAGGAAGCCTTTTAGGAAAAAATAGGGAAATAATTTACCATCAGGTTCAAGATAACAAATTGACGTCGCCTGATGACCAATTTTATTTGTCTTTCTTTCTACACAATACCTTCCGGTGTCCCTAAGGATAAACCGCATCTTTCAAGCTAGCTCAGACCCGCTATACGTGTTATACCCTTCAAAATGCGTACTTGATTCCCTTGAGGGAGCTGACCCTGCTCGAAACATCGCCGAGATTTGACAAGGGAACAAAACCGCACGTAAACCAAACAACCGAAATAATTTGTTGGAAATTTTTGAAATTAAATTTCGGCGCGATTGCGGAGCAATCCTCGGTAGGGATTTTATTGTTACACCTGAGCGTATTAATTACGGCAATCGTATCAAAATCACGACGTGGAAGCGATTTTGCGTTGGAATAATGGAATGTTATTTTCCGGAACATATTTGCCGCATTAAAATCGAACGGTACGGAGGTAAACAAGCCTTTAACGAATCTACACAAATGCGCTTCCCGTTTTTAAATATTCATCACAATTTGTTTCGAATTTTAAATCGACGCGGTTTAGTTAATGCGAAATAGTTGGTATAATGGAAGCTTAAAAAATGTTACATTTAATCCTCTCTTTTCTATACCTGCTACAATATAATTTGGCACCTAGTTTGTTAAAAAGATGAAAGTAAAAAGCTTCCTTTTTGATCCCGTTTCTTTGCGTAATTAGACTGTTGCTTTGTGAAGAAAAATCTACAGAAGTACCTAATTTGTAAACTTTTCTCCTCGTTTGTGTGGGTTTACAAAGGTGGAAATTATAAATCGCAACTTTTCAATTCGACAAATTAGATGATGATGAAAATATTCCATGCACGTTTATTTCATTAGAATTCGGAGGAAAACGAATTAAACTTTCGCAAAACTTTTCCTACTTTCAATATCTACATTGCTAATGTAGAACATAAAATTGATAAAAAAATCAATCGCCAGGTTGTCGAGATTCGTGCTGTAGCCGCAACATCATGTTTACATACCGTTTTTAATCGATTACCTATCTAAATTGTACTTATATTATTAAAACATCGATCTGTTCGTATACGTGTTTTGTCTAACTTATAATTTTTTAGCTACATGGAGATTGCCATCAGCAATAAATTCAGGCGATTCTCTTTAAACACGCCGCCAGACAATCCGATTTTTATCAGACGTAAACATTTCCCTGTGATTTACCAATTCGTAGTTTATAATTCAATCAATTCCGTTATCACCTAATCCCCGTCATTGCTAATCCCGCAGTTTGTATTCTGCAGATACTACAAATACAAAAATAAATATAACTCATGAACATGGATAGATAAATTTTCTAAGCGACTGCTCCAGTGGAGTAAATTCCCTAAAATAACCCATAAATAATAGATTTCGGTGTCTATAGGTATAAATAAAGTTGGGATCTGGATTTAATACGATGCCCCTGATGTGACATAATTCGCTACTGTAGGCTAGGCATTATACATTTTTATAACCCAGCCAACTGGCGTTTTATTACATCCAAAAGATCCTAACTTTAACGAATTGAAACGGCCAGTTGTTAATTTTAATGAAACTACCCACATAACAAATTTTACAGCGTTTCTATCGAATTATCTGATAACATTTTTAGGGCTGTTTTATAAATTTATATAACCCATAAACCCGTCCAATGTAAATTGCTTCGATGGTCATGGTTATTTAGTTCTTAAATGTTCGCATATCTAAATTTACAAACATTTATGATTCATAAATCTGGCGCTCCAAATTATTTACTATTTATCCTCCCTGTATATAGGGGTTTGCTAATGATTTATTTATTATAGTTTTTTTATCTGTTTAATTGTTAAATGCTCAATCTAATAAATAAACGTGTTTTTCGTTACGTAATTTTAATTTAATTTAATTTCAATGAATTATTTATCGTCCTGTTGTTAAAGTTTCATGCAATATCTGCAGCAAATTAATCTTTCATTGAATTTGAATTGAATTTATAAATTGCGTTTTGTTCCATTTGTGCTTTAGAAAAATATCCTTTACTGTCTATTTGCATTGCATAAATTTTAAATTTATCGAATACACTTTCGTTCCATTTTAATTCACTCGATGAACTTTCTATAATATACCGAAAAGCGGCACATTTTAAACATAAATTTGCCCCTATTAATACCCCAATAGATCCATTAATTCCCTATTCGCTCTTCTGTACATCTTCGTAAAGCTTTATTTCTATTCCTCCCTTTTGCCAAGAGAATACATTTGCCGATATTCAATTGAATTGTCGCGGCAATTTCGCGCGGAAAAAACCTCTGCAGGAATCCGCCCGGTTCTGATTCCTTTTATATCGCCTGCGTTATTGCGACGAGGGAGATATTCCGTAGCGCAAAAGAACCAATTAAGTTTGCTTCTCGGCTCTAATGCGGGCCCGGCAAAAGGGCAATTAAACCACGCTCTTTTTTATCGAGGACAACTACGGAAGCTCTAGAGTTAATAGACCCGGAATTCTGTTCGAATTACACCGCTGAGAAGGTTATGGAATTTTGACAAACGCTACAATTTTATACGGAAAGGGGGAAATATAATAGGAAGTGAATCTGCTGTTCCTGCAAATAAGAATAACTTAGGCGACCTTGTTTAGGCTCCCTTGACAAAAAACTTGTTGCTCATAAAATGCGACGAGCTGCTTCATTCTTTTCGCCGAGCACACTCGAAGCTGGGAAAATCCCGGATAAAACGAAAACATGCGAATTCGGGAAGGGGTTTTATTTTCGCCGGAGAAGTTAAATTACATCGCGAATTTACCTGCATTAGATTGCTAATTAAGAACGATGGCTGGTTATAGTAATAAAATTCGCAAATAACCCGGGCGAGTTTATTGTAAAAAAAGGCTTCGTTATACTTTCGAAACTTTGATCGTATTAAATTTCTTCCATAATTTTACGGTTCGTGCACAATAAATTACGCCGTGATTTATAGGATACAAATTCGTGCGAGTTTCCACGACCTTCCAGGATATTTTTATTTATTACTATTCGATTGAGTCGCGAAATGTCGATACTGAATATCGAATATTACCCCCAATTCCCAGTTGTTGCCGCGCTTTCCTCCTTTTTTCCCGCAGATTTCCGCAATTCCTCCGGGACGTTTCCTTTCCCCTGCTGCTATTATAAATAAATATGAGTTCGTTGTTGATCATCGTGTTTGCGTTCATGATTCGCGTACATACTTTGCGTCTTAACCAGATTTGCACGTCGATTCGCACCGATTTACGGAATTAATTCGTCCTTGCAGATGCTGTTGTGGAAGAACATTGGACCAACATAAGCACGCAACTGATACTCAGCCACCACAACCGGGAGAACTATGGTATCCGAGCAAATGCACAGTCGCAAGTCCCACAGATGCTTATGGAATACTCGAATTCCAGGGCGGGCCCCATCCCTCCAAAGCTCAGGTGAGTCCTATTATATTCTATCATCAATCCACGAATTATTGTTTAAAGTTTTCCCTATCAAAACACTTCAGTAAAACTGTAATGAACTGATGCTATGTTACAGTAAAGTTCGCTAATAAGAAGTAAACAATGGAGATTTTTTGGTCTGAATGCTCGCTTTTTGTAGTGCTGTTGCTTAAATGGAATTAACTGTATAGACAATTATTTTATTATACAAGATTTGTAAGTACTTAAGAGGAGATTACTTACTAGTTCGCAAGTAACTATTTTGAGAAATCCATTTCGACTTGCGAGTAAAGGAAGGGAAGACCTTCGGTGTCATTAACAAGGATTAATCCGCGACCCGGGGGAGACCTCGGGAAGCACTTGAACGTGCCATTCGATCCTCTCGCAGAGACGTTCGTTTGCATTAAGTAATATTCCGGCGAGCCGACGAATTTCCAAGTTTCACCTACATTTCCGCCGGATTATCCGAGGCCCTCTCGTTCGGTCGGCTTTCAGGAGAAAAAAAATCCGGAACGTACATACACCGAATGCCCGTCGGTTTTCACAAACAGATGTAGGAGCTGTCGCTTTCAGGTAATGTTCGAAAGCGACTTATTATTAAGTTTAATTCGTAATCGAAAGAAGACACGCCGCAAGCTCGCAAGAGGGAATGTACGTAGAAAGAACGATGGGAAAGAGCGGATATGACAACGCGAAGGGGAGAAAATATTAAAAAAATACTGTAGGTTGAGGTGACGTGAACAGATGAAATAGTACGTGAAAATTTGCGTAAAAAAATAATTGCAAGTGCTTTCATATAAATTTTCGTTTAATTTAAGTGTTATCTACCGTGCTTTTTCTCTGCATTTTCTAAGGACTGGGAGGCAACGAAAAGGCGCGGAAGATATTTCAATTATAATGTTAAATTCGACGGAAAAACCTGGCCGGTGTAATAAAAGCGCATAGCTCATGAAAATATTAAAACTCGTTACGCGGAATGGGTATTTTAAGCGAAAGCGGTAAAAGTTTATTTTGCCGTTAAAGGCTTTAGATCTAATCCTATTTAGCGAAGTTATAAAATCACTGTTTAAGCAAACCGGTTAGTTTCTGGAAGATTTTGCGCCCGTCATTTTGGCGTTATAGATGAGTGTTCCGACGTTTCTGCATTAAAAAGGCGGATGCGAGTTTAGTTTGGCGTAGATGGGAATTTTATGCCAGAGCGATCTGTATATGCGATAATTTTTGATTGAATGTCGAGAGCTTTCGCGTAATCCTCGGGAAATTGCGAAGAGCAAAGTCGTACAGCCGTCAGGATATTATTAATAACACCTGCTATTATTATCGATCTGCGTCTGACTGGGCGCACTTGTGATCGCTTCATTATTTACTGTCAGACAGTTTTTAATACTACGAATGGAAAGGTCGCAAAAAACTAGAGAGAATTGCGTTCGATCCGGCAAAAATGAGCTTTTTTGTTTCATCGGTGCGCCGGAATTTTTAGACGCGAGTTAAAATTTGTACCAACGTTTCCAGATTAAACATGATTCGCTTCGTAAAAGCGGCTTCAAAGCTACATTGAAATATTTATATTCAGTACATACATATGTATACTCGATATAACGAGCATTTCGTGCATAAAGCGATTTCTCGACTCGTACCTCAAGACGAATGGATATTGATCCCCTTAAGAAATATTCATATTTCCTTCGAAATCAAGTAGAATAAACACAATATAAAGATACTATTCAATCCGGTAATAACGTATTATATTTTATTCGCCAGTATATCAGGGTAGCTCATGACACTAAACCAGAACATTTGATGCATCTAATAACGCGAGAATGGAACCTCGAATTGCCGAAATTGCTGATATCCATCCAGGGAGGCAAGGCGAACTTCGAGCTGCAACCGAAGCTGAAGAAAGTGCTCAGGAAGGGTCTGCTGAAGGCCGCCAGATCGACGGGAGCTTGGATATTCACCGGCGGTACGAACACGGGTAAGCGAGCCGAACTTCCTGCCGCCTTGCAGGACTAATTCCGCGCCGTTTCCACAGGTGTTACCAAGCACGTGGGAGATGCGCTGTTGCTGGAAAGATCTCAACGAACGGGTAGAGTAAATACTTTAGGAATAGCCCCTTGGGGCATCGTCGAAAATAACCAAGATCTCATTGGCCAACACACCGAAGTACCATATCATTCCATATCATCGCCAAGGTAATTTGCTTAAATTCTCCTTAAAAATGCTTTGATATCAATAGTAATGTTCTGTTTACGTTTCAATTTAATGGAAAAATGAAATTCAAAAAAAATTCTAAAATATCAATAGACACTAATAGATATTTTATTTTGTTGTTTGTCTTATCGTTTTAGCTCTTCTAGTTTCTTCTTAGCGTTGTTCTTTATTATCCGTTGTAGTTTCATTATTCCTGCTATCTGGAACTCGGGGCGGTAGGTAGAACGACGCATTCCAGTATATCGAAAGCGCTAATATTCCAATTGGAATTGATTTTAACGCTGTAATCCCGTTGAAATTCGGTCTGGAGGGCCACTAAAACCAGCCTCATCGGTCCCGCTTTGGATCTAACCCACTTCAACGCCAAAATTCTCAGCGTTATCGTGCAATCTTTCTTGGAACTTTTGAGCGATTTGAAGTGCACCGCTATGGGCACGAGGATTTTAATGTCCTCCGGCCTCAGTTTGATGATGGATTTTTGGTTCTTGGTCAGTCTCGTTTTCATCACTTCCTTCAGCTTCTGCCTGGCCACCGAGGTCATCAGGTTGTCGAGCTCCTCGGGCCGGTTGTCGTGGATGATCTCGGTGATCCGGCATACGGCGCGCGTCGTTCCGTATATGAAGGCGCCTTCGGTGAATTCCGGATCCCACGTCTTCTGCAGGTACTTCAGTTGCACCTTGGTCTTCAGCCATCTGAACACGTGCGGCACGTAGATCAGGTCGGGGGTTTTGGGCGTTTTTCCATAGTTTCTGATGGGTGTATGAGATACCTGGGGTCGTGCGAGCGCTACCGTCTTCGCGCTCAAAAGGCCGCGGGGATTGAGGTTGAGCCGTTTGGAGGAAATTTGCAGGAGGCGCGATAGCATTATTCCGCGAGATGCTCTATTTCTTGTCCATTGATGTTGGTGGTTGTTCCGCTGGTAATTTTGGAATTTTTCTTGAGGCGTGCCTAATGATATTTTAGCATTTTTTGGATGGGTTTTGTAAGAGAATGCGTGACAATTTGTGTCAAAATTATACCGGGCGTGCTAAAACGGCCGGGTTTCTTTCAGAGGGATTTATCGTAAATTATCGGTTTCAGATCAAAAAACGCAGCTTTAAATAATCGACATGCCTATTTTCTTCTAGTCGATAACGGTACTGTAGGAAAATACGGCGCCGAAGTGATACTTAGGAGAAAACTCGAAAAATACATATCTAAACAGAGATTATATCCTTGTGAGTTTTACACCTTTGGTTTGGTTCCAATACATTGAAAATAATCGTGAAAATATCATTTCAGTTACCCAAAGTCCTATACCGATAGTATGTTTAGTAATAGAAGGAGGTACAAACACCATTAGAGCAGTATTGGAATATGTAACAGACGAACCACCGGTGCCAGTTGTCGTTTGCGATGGATCCGGCAGAGCTGCCGATATTATCTCTTTTATGTGCAAGTAAAGAATCCTCCGCCTTGAGGAGAATGTATTTTTTTACAGTATTTGTGTATATTTATTAGATACGAGTGTTCCGTTCTAAAATCCATGAAGGAGTACATAATAGCAACGATACAGAGAGCTTTCGAAGTCGGCGCGGAACTAGCCGAAGGCCTATTCGGAGAACTGATGCATTGCGTAGAAAACAAACATTTAGTAAGCTCCAATCCTATATTTATCAATTGTTCCTGATTCTCGATTCTCTTTTAGATAACAGTATTTCGCATAGCCGACAAATACGACCAAAAACCCCAAGAATTGGACCAAACAATCCTGACCGCTTTATTCAAATCGCAACATCTCTCGCCCACCGAGCAGCTGAGCCTGGCGTTGACGTGGAACCGGGCCGACATCGCCCGCTCCGAGATCTTCGTCTACGGCCAGGAATGGCCGGCCGGGGCGCTCGAGGACGCCATGATCAAGGCGCTCGAGCACGATCGCTGCGACTTCGTCAAGCTGCTGCTGGAAAACGGCGTCAGCATGCGAAAGTTCCTGACGATACCGCGCCTCGAGAACCTCTACAATTCCAAGCAAGGGCCCAGCAACACTTTAGGTTACATACTCAGGGACGTTCGACCGCACATACCGCCGGGCTACATTTACACGCTACACGACATCGGGCTCGTTATCAACAAACTGATGGGCGGCGCTTACAGGTACGTTCTTGTCGAGGGCCGCTTGTAATTAATCGTTGAGTGTTGCGTTTGTTTGCGTCTTAGGGCGTTGTATACTCGAAGGAAATTTCGTCCTATTTACGCTAAGATAATGAACAAAGGACACAGCATGGCGAACACGTCGGGAAGGAATTTAGGAGCTATGGGTTTGATACCCGGATGCATTCCAGGAGGGGCCAGTCCTTGTTTGTTCGATTATCCTTTCAATGAATTACTGGTAAGTGATCAATATTTACGCGGAATTCGTATATCACGAATTATTTGCGTTTAGATTTGGGCGGTTCTAATGAAAAGACACAAGATGGCGCTGTTGATGTGGCAACACGGCGAAGAAGCCTTAGCTAAGGCTCTGGTAGCTTGCAAATTGTATAAAGCGATGGCCCACGAGGCGGCCGAAGACGACATGGAGACGGAAATATACGAAGAACTGCGAGCTTACGGGAAGGAATTCGAAAATATCGGTAATTATTTACGCGTGTTAAATAACTTACACTGTTCACGTCTCTCTAATTTGCAGCCTTGGAGGTGTTGGATTATTGTTATAGACAAGACGACGATCAAACGCAACAGCTGCTGACCTGCGAATTGCAAAATTGGTCCGGTCACACGTGCCTCAGCTTAGCCGTGACGGCCAATCACAGGGCGCTGCTGGCGCATCCTTGTTCGCAGATCATCCTGGCGGACCTTTGGATGGGTGGATTGCGTACGAGGAAAAACACCAACATAAAAGTAACGCGGATTTATACCTACAGTTGGTGCAAAACGAATATCAATGCACGTCACCTATGAGTTACTACGTCACAAGTAGGCAGTGTTGCCGGACGTTTATAGAGTTTGCAAAATCTAAGAATTTTCTAAAATTGTCAAATGGCAAAATTGACAAGAACAAATTGAAAATTTAGGGGTAGCTCTTTAACGTTTCTAAACGGTGGAGGTATTCAGGGGCTTATTATAATTAATTATCAAATTCCTTTATCATCTGAAATATATTTAACAGTGGGAGTAAAAAAATAGTGTACAATTGACCCTTAAAAGAGTACATAGTGAAATTTCTGAGAAAACTTCTGAATCTGAATTATTTAGAGCTCAAATTGTGTCATTTCTAACATGTGGAAAAGAAAACTAAGCAAAAAATTCTTATTTCTTGATTATTCGGCTGAATAGCTTTTAGTAGTTGTGGCTAGTAAACTAGAAAAAGAAGAAGAATAAGAAATTGAAAATTAAAAGTACCAATCGGATGACAACGGCATTTATGCAACTTGACAGTCAACGCCTACCAACATACTATAAGAAAATAATATTAATTTTATATACAAACGTTGAATTTTGAATCCACATTATCATCATTATTATCCCTTGTTAATTATAAATTAAATTCTGCAGGTATTAAGCTTAACTTATTTTATGTATTTATTGCTTGGCAAGTATGATGACAGTAGTGACGTGCATTTATAAATATTAGTTTTGCACCAACTGTAATTGTGCTTCGAATTTGTGTATATATTTAAATTTTTTAGGTGATTTTGGGGTTGATATTCATGCCGTACATCTTCAAATTGGAATTCAAATCGAAAGAGGAGCTGCAGCTGATGCCGCAGACGACCGAAGAGCACATGGAATTGGAGAACGACGACGACGACAAATCGGATTCAGATAAAAATCAAGACGGAGACGTAAGTGGACGCAAGCCTAGTACCACTCTGGCAAGTTTTAATTCGAACGCTTCGATGGGGCACGTCTCGACGATTACGCTTCGTCCAGATTTATACGATCCGAAAATCTACTGATATTTCAGCCACCGGGGAGTGAGTTTTCGATGAGAAAAATCGTCTGCTTAACTGTTTTATTGATTAACACCAACACCCGCATTCAGAAGTTTATTATAACCTAATGGTTTTGTAAACAACGATTGTATATAATTTTAAACAAGGCAACGTTACTTCTTTGAATGTTACAAGATGAAAATGAGGTTAGGTATTTGAATCGGAGTGAAAAGCCATTATTTTGCATAAAAATTATGCAAAGTTTTTTTCATTTTTACTAGATTGAACCACTAACTTTTTTTCTATTTAATTGAAATCGACGGTAAAAATAAGGGAAGTTCATGTTTACCTTCTTTCCTATACCTAAACCGAATTAATAGCCGAGTAGACTCGTATCTGAAGCTTATTTGAAGAAGTAAGACAAAAAACTAACGTCACTTTCGTCTTGTTTAAGATTCAAATAAGCAACGATACCATGTTTAAATTTCGGAAATACATAATCGTTGGTTACAAAACCATCTAATTATAAAAAAATTTGAATACGGAGGTAAAATTTTATCTGTTCATTAATGGGGATAATTTATAAGTCTGGTAGCGTTTTCGAAAAGACGAGCCCGCCGAGATCGATTCTTATTATTTAGTTGTTTTTCTAGACCAAAGTGGTTCGTAAACATTACATTGAATTCTATAATCCGAAAGTAAGCAAAGTACCCAGACGTTTTAAATCTATAAAGCACCGAACACTCTGAGCACATTCTTTAAAAAATTATTTACTCAATTCGTCGGTGTTATTTTTTTATCGATATGAAATCGTTTGCATTGCGACTTCTCTATGTACTTAATTAATCGTCGAATCGGTTCAGTGTAAATAGAAATGCTTTTATTTCTAATCATAATTGTACACACACGTTAGATAGCACTCATTCTTTTTTTTACTAGCACTTAATTTGTCTACTTATACACGTACACAGTAGTTGAAATTAATTTTCCTAGCAAACCTAAAATGCAGTACATTGTTATTTAATAAAATACACTTCACTACAGAAACACACACACTTTTATACTACATTTTAGGTCGATCACTTGTTAATAATTCTATTAATTTGGTGATAGTATATTTTAGATGTTTTCTAGGCTTGGATAAAATGTAGATATACATAAACTAGCTTAATTCCGTTTGCTTATTTACATTTACTAGATTCTATCGAGAAGCAGTACTGACACGGCGCTAATGGTTAATTTGTTCTTTTAGAAGCGTACTAGAAGTTTGAGTATTCGGCCCAGACCGTCGAATTCGCCGGGCGTTAAGGTAGCAAAAAGCTTCCCCCAAATTGTCTCTTCTTAAATGTTCACCCCTTGTTATCACCTTCTTGAATCGTTAATACTCTCGTAGCTTTAGCCTTTCCGTTCGCATACTATCAATTAAGTACCTATTATTTATACGATAATTGGAATATCTTGATAGTATGTTTGTTGTGTTTTGTGTTTTCTTCGCTTTTTGAGCTTCTGAATGTATTAATAAACTCCCCTTCTCCGATTATTTTTACTGTTTTTTTCGTTCGTGTCGTTCGTTCAATTCGTGTACCGTTTCTGTTTCACCACTTTGTTTGCAGGCTCTGTTGACGGAAAATTTCATAACGAGAGACACCATCGTGCAGGAAAACGGGAAAATCCTTCCCGAATTCGAAGACCCCAAATACAAAATATACAGCAAAGGGCGCGAATTGAAGCTGAAGAAGAAGCTGTACGAGTTTTACACCGCTCCCATCACGAAATTTTGGTCCAATTCGGTATGTTACAATTTACCTAAAGCAACAATTCACCGTTTACACTCGTCTATTCCAGATCGCTTACATCACGTTCTTGGTCCTCTTCAGCTACTCGATACTGATCAAAATGGGCCAGTACCCCATTTGGCAGGAGTACTTCTCGATAGCGTTCATCATCTCGCTGGGTTGCGAGAAGATACGCGAGCTGATCTCGTCGGAGCCGGTGGGAATGTCGCAGAAACTGGCCGTGTGGTCGTGGAACATGTGGAATCCCTGCGACATGGCGGCCGTGTTCATGTTCCTGATCGGCATGTCGCTGCGATTCCAGGCGGATACCTACAAGACCGGTAGGGTCGTGTATTGCGTCAACTGCATTTATTGGTACTTGAGGATTTTGAACATCCTTAGCGTTAATAAGTACTTAGGTAATGAAGCGATTCGTGCGAGTAAAGGTCGATTGTATTATACTTTTTTTGCGTTTTATAGGTCCGTTGGTAACGATGATGGGGAAGATGGTGAAGAACATGATTTACTTCATAGTGTTGTTGTTGATAATTCTCATGAGTTTCGGCGTGTCGAGGCAAGCTATACTATACCCGAATAAAGAGCCTACTTGGGATATTGCTAGAGATGTAATTAAATCGCGATTAATTAGCGAGTACTAGTACTTGATTTTAGTTTGTTTTCTAGGTGTTTTTCGAGCCTTACTTCATGTTGTACGGTGAGGTATTCGCCAGCGAAATAGATCCCAAATGTGGCGAAGGCACGGAGGAAAAATGCGAGACTGGTCGATGGATTTCTCCCGTCATCATGTCGATATACCTTCTAGTGGCGAACATCCTGCTGATCAATCTTCTCATAGCCGTATTCAATAATATATTCAACGAAGTCAACGCCATCGCCCACCAGGTGTGGATGTTCCAACGGTTCACGGTCGTCATGGAGTACGAGCAGAAACCGCTGCTGCCGCCGCCGTTCATATTCTTCTCGCACATATACCTGCTGTTCAAGTACTTCCGCAGGAAGATGGAGGGCATCGAGGAGAGCTACGACAACGGCCTGAAGCTGTTCCTCGACAAGGACGAGATGGAGCGGCTCTACGACTTCGAAGAGGACTGCGTCGAGGGCTACTTCGCCGAGCAGGAGAACAAGCTGCAACAATCGACCGAGGAGCGCATCAAGATCACCACCGAGCGCATCGAGCACCTCACCCAGAAGGTCGAGGACATCGTCACCAAAGAGAACCTCCAAACCACCGTTCTGCAGAACCTCGACGTGCGCACGCGCAAATACACCGATCAATTGGAGGAGATTGCCAACAACGTGGAGGTGCTGCGCCAGGTGGTGCAGGCCCAACCGTTCGGCGCCGACGCCGTGATGACGGCCCAGCAGGCCTTGCGACAGAGGACCATCAGCGAACAGAGCGAATTGTCCGAAGAAAACACCATCATCGGGCAATTGCTGCCCACTCAACCTATCAGAAAGAAAACAGTCGTGCGATCTTTGACTGAAGTTAGACCGGACGCTTATATATTCGATAATGGACAGCACATTGAGTACCGGTACGCCGATGAAGATGATGACAACGAACAGATGGATAATATTTCTACTGCAGGTAATTTGGTAGTATTAATACTCAGTTATCTTGTGCTAATGTTCATGTTGGTGGTTCCACAATCCTTGTTTCATATACCTTTGACTAATGCTCCTTGTAGTCTTGCTCCTTTTACTCCTGTTGCTTTTACTAATGTCCGTTGAACTCTTGTACTTTTGTTACTTTTACTAATGTCTCATGTACCACTGCTCCTTGTACTTTTGTTTGTTGAACTCTTGCTCTTCGTATTCTTTAACTCTTGTTCCTTGTACTCTTCTTCATCTTACTCTTGCTCCTTGTACTTTTCTTCCTCTTGCTGCTGTTCCTTGTGCTGCTGTTCTTTGAACTCTTGTTTCCTGTACTCTTACTCCTTGTACTCTTTCTCCCTGTACTTGCTTCTTCCTCTTGCTCCTTGTACTTTTGTTCCTCTTGCTGTTATTCCTTGTACTTTTGTTCATTGAACTCTTGCTCCTTGTTCTTTTGTTCCTTGTAGTCTTCTTACTCTAGCTCCTTATACTTTTGTTCCTTGTACCAAGTATTGTTGAAGTTATGGACGTAGTGCTACTGCTCATTGTCTTAATGTTTGGGGGATTGCAGGTAGCAGGCAGCATTTGAACTTGCTGAGGCAAAGGACCAAGAGCACCGAGTCTAAGACGTCGACGGATAGCGACAAGAGGAGCGAGGACGTGATAATCGACGACATATCAGGTATAAATTTAGAGGCTCTGAGATCGAGGACGGCGCAAAAACCGAGGAGGGATTCGACGGGAACTATACGAAGGGGGTCTGAAAGCGGTCCCGGTAAGTGTTTTTTTTCTTAATTTTATTATTGTAGATTAAAGTGATTTGTTGTTTTAATTAACGTACTCTTATTGATTTTGGTTTCTTGTAGTTTTTAAGCATTACCTACTAATTGTTACTAATTTAGTTTTTTTTGGCTCTTTTACACTACTGTAATAGAATTTGTTTGAAACTAACTATACTACAGCTTCATTTGCTTTGTATAGGTATAACTGGTGATTAAAATACTTTATTAAGAAAAAATGCCAGATGTACCAAACATATTTACACACACCAAACACACACATTTATCTTTTAAAATCTACTTTCACGATATATTTTAGACAGGATATATTTTATATTTTTACAAACGTTTCACACAGCTGGGCGAGTTTCAGTCGAAAATACAAAAAAATTTATATATTATGTACAAACTATTGGAAGGATCGTGTGGAATTCTAATTATTTCTTATGCTTTTCCTTATCATATAGAAGCATGCGATCAACGGCCACCCTTTTTAACACCAAAAAGTCTATCTTTCTGCCATTTTCTGAGGAAATTAGGTATGATACTAAACGTGTTTACTTATTTGTTATAATATCAATGTTAATTGTAAGGAAACGAGCATGCGGATGGCTGAAAAAACAATGCATCGCTCATCTTCACATCGATACAAAACTTCATCGAATGGTTGTTTATTTTTTCTTTAAATCTCCATAAATCAATGATCTACTAATTTTCTCATGTTTTTTCCTCATGCGGAACCGCATTTATGTAGCACACATTTCATCAGTTCACAAAAAAACCCCGCTTTAGAAGCTTAATGTGATGTTGGTACTTATAAATGTTTCACACACACTTTGAATTCCAACAAATTCGATATCACCTAAATCCAGTCTCACAGCATTTTGCTATTCGTATCGATTGAATCGTTAGTTCATTCAAATCCAACGGTTGTACAGTCGCGCTCCCGCAGAAATTCCACATTAGACTAGAATCGAGCGATTTTTGCGGGACCTCCGAATGGACTAAGCAGCCACTCGAAACGAATAAATATAAGCCTAGATAAAACGCGGCTAATCATTCAGAGCTTCCGCAAACCGAACTAACCCGTTACGTCTCAGGTGAGGAATGCCCCGGCAAAGCGACTCTATCCAAACGGCAATTCTCGCAAACGCAATCCGAGCCGGAGACCTCCGATCAGCCGTGTACGCTGCCGTCGAGCACCGTCTCCCTAGAGCGCTCCGTCACCTTTACGGAGCCCAAAATTAAGGTCATACCGCCCGTCGGCGGCCGATCGGCCCTGTTAATGCACATGCACACGGAATACACGAGCATTACCGACGAATTGGAGTCCGTTTGCGGACTCTTCAGTCCTCCGCGCTCGCCGGGCCTTCTGTCGCCGCCTCGGCCCGATCAGTCGCCGCCAAGTAAGTTCCCAGATTCCAAGAGCACACTCGGAAAATGTTGTTTATTACTTATTACACCGTAGGATTACAAGTGTTCGCCTTTATGGGAGTTGCGAGTGCATAAAATCGAAGGGAATGCTTGTAATAGTCGAACTTTTTAAGGGGTACTAACTATATCACGAATAAAAATACTGAAACGATGCGTTACAATAATCTGACAGTGAAATTTGTGGGTCTTAGATGTTACTAAATGTTGGGAAAGTTTAATTAAACGACCTAGAGAAGTGTAAGAGGCTTCTACGCTGTGCTACTGAACTGCTTAATTCAGAATTCATGCTTGATGTTATTGCTCGTAATCTCCTATATAGAATACAAAAGTTACTATATGGCAACGCTGTATTTTTAACTTTTGATACCATGGCCAAATTATTGTGAACTTGGTATATTAATTCATTTTTGAGCCCACAACGCTGATACTTCTTTAATATTGTTTTATTTTCTGATATATTTGATCTTGGATTTAAACGTTCTGTAGAAATGTGTGTTGTTAGGTGTTATGATATTCAATTGAGGTCTTATTTTTACTATTATGAAATGCAGTAGTTTTAGATACTCCTTTTACTCCAGTGTATACTATACTATACTTTATAACTCTATTTTAAAGTGCATTATTTAGCAAGATTGGTTGCGCAATGAAAACTTCTCTATTAAAATATTGTCTAATGCGCAAATACTAACTAGATACATACAATACTTGCGCCCATATTCACCAATTTCGGCTTATTTAATCTGATAACTGTCAGTCTGATAAAATTTAACAGTAAGTATTAACTGACAATGGTGAACGCCAAAATGTTAACAAATTAATAAGAACTTATTCAGAACTGGACATTGGTGAATGTGGCGGTTAATGATACAGCTATTTAAATATTTTTGTGTATTCTTCATGTAGGTGTATTACGCTGTTGGTATAATCTTATTATTAATATCTAGCTTTTACGAAGGACTTTCCTTGAACAAACCACATACAGTTTCTTCAAAGCGACATAACCAACTCTAGACAAGACCTAGTCATTACAATTAAAACGCGCTTTTTCCACTAACAAACGAATCTGTTGAAGGTTCCCGCAAACGCAATCCCTCCGAAATGTCCAACCCCGAGATCGCCATCAACTTCGAAAAGGAGCACCTGCGCAGCGCCGAAGAGTGCGACTACATGGTCATGGAGAACCTCATCCAGCGGCGCTACAGCGAAGAGGACGAGGCCGACATCGAGGACGACGTCATCGACCGGCTGCCGATCAGAAATCCGGCGCTGCTGAGCGTCGTCACCGAGACCAGGGAGTTCAGGGTGAACTCCTGGCCGACGAGGAACGCCCTCAAGCGATCGGCCGCCGTCGAAGGGGAGCCGCCCGGCATCGGGCAATTAGGTAACGTCAGATCGGCGATGTTGCCGGTGTTTTACCAGGGCTGGCAGAAGGTCCAGCTGTTCGCTGACGATAACGTTTTTATTTGAGCGATGTTATCCGACATCGCATTTTCGGTCTTTTTTTGTTGTATATAATTACTACGATTCACTCGGCATTTTTAGTACAATAACTACATTTTCTTGTAAATTACCACAAAATTCTAGTTTTGGTTTAGATTGATTTCATTTTGATTGGCTTGATTCGTTTCATATACTAACGCGTAGAATGCATTATTGCTTGTATCCATAGTATTAGCATCCATCTTTTGGGGCAATCTTCCTACAGATTCTCCAGGAAGAATACAATTGACAATTCAAGGAATCTAGGAAACACCAAGATTAACAGGATGCTAATACTAATATAGTACATTGATACACTCTTATCAGATACAAGATACTCAAGGAATAAATTCTACGCGAAACTCGCGTCCTTGCCGAGCTCATTTACCATCCTCTTTCTCTTCGGCGTAGGTTCTAGCAGTTCATCCAACGAACGCCAGGATTCGACAGAATCCAGCGATAATCCTGCGACGATTAATCAGCCGGCCATGCCGCAACGGCCTTCGATAGTTATCGACTCCTCTCAGTTGCCCACCGTCCAAAGGGACGAGCTGCCTTCGGCCGAATCGAAGGGCAGTTTGCACATGCAGTCGGAGACCATGTGTTAGTAGATTTTGAGATAATCCAACAGAGTAGATTTCTTCGTATTTATTATACTTCGTTTTCGTCCGTTAGTTCGAGTCGGCTTCGTTATCGTGATTGGTAGTTTGAAAACTAACAGCTTTTATTTTTGGCATCATAAAGGACTGGGTTTTTGTAAAAAAATGTACAACATACTCTACTCACTAACGTCCCGGTATTATAATTAGATATTCATTTGGTGCAAGTAAAATGTGCCTGATGGTGATCATTAACTAACTTTTGAGGCTTTTTGCAAGTACTTATACAAACCAAATTACATTCTTTGGCATTCTGAATGCATGATTTTTGACTAATTTTGAGAGGTTCCATTCGCTTTTAGACTACCACAAATCGATTTCGAAAGCTCTATTAACAAAAAACAGGATAATTCGAGGGTTTTCCGGTTTCTACTCGTTTCTCTCACGAGCCACTGAAATTGTAATATAATCAAACTTTATCAGTATTATTAACGAGTTACAATACTTCTATTTTTCTAGGAAACTAAATATTTTTTTACAAATTACGGCAGGAACGATGGCGAAACGGAAAATTCCCGTTATCTTTTCGAAGCACCGTCGTGTCACTTTTTAGGGAAATAGGCGAAATGAGTAATTAATGCAAGTTTGTTAACATTTTTGAAAGAAAATTGGCAACGTTGTAATATTACTTATCAAGTTGGTAACTTTCATTTTTTAAGTTGTCATACATGTTAAAATGACGTGATTCACGGAATACTTTAATTAGAAATTGAAATATGAGGTATTCTGTGATCAAATAAAATTAATTGACAGATGTAACTGTCATATTGAAAATTTTTCTAAAACGTTCTAGAATTTTTGATTATTGTTTCGGTTTATCGATTTTTAACAGTTGCTTTGGTTTTAATAATCGTTTTTTGATAATAATAAAGAGTAAAAACAGAAGTGATGGTGTAAGTGTTTACATTGATGGCAATATCCGAAATTTAGGAATTCAGGTTAGTCAAAAAACCGACATATTTGCATGAATTTACTAATAATTTTAATCTTTATTTTAAAATTGCAAAGTTTAACTGCATTTTATATTTTTAAATGGGTTTTCCTAACATCCAAAAAACGTTTTTATATTATTATTGATGATTTATATCATATTTATTTAATTAGCGATGAATCATTTTCGTGTAAAATTTTACAAACTTGCATAATTTTTTCATTCCGTATCATTTTCTAACTTTATACTATTTCCATGTATCGTACACTAATAGATAGATTTAAGTAAGTAAATGTAATTTGCTGCGATAATCAAACGAACATATTCTTATAAATAATGTCCACCGATAATCAGAAAAATTAATAATTTTTTTGTCAATATACTTTTTCTAATATTTATTAAAGTTCTATTATATCAATAGGTACATATGGAAATATTGAAGTGTGTGAATTTATTTTTATGTTAAATAAATATATAAATAAATAAATGAATAACTAAATAAATTGAAATTGTAGGAAATATTTTTTTGTAAAACTAAGCCAATGATTGAAATGTTAGTATAATCTGTACTAATGTGATATTTTAATGGTGTAGAAAAAAATTATTAATTTGCGAAAAATGATAATTTCGATCTACATCGTTTCGTATTTTAATTTAGGGTTCGTAATAAATTTGACAATATTAGAGTTATTTGTAGAAAAACAAAAATCGTTTCTATTGATAAAGTCTAAATTTTGAAACTGTTTAGAACTGGGTGTACTATATTTTGTCAGTAGAAATGCTATTAAAAAATTTAAATTCTCTATCAAATGAGTACTTATCTTTTTCAAAGGGCTTAAATTAAACACGCGACTATCTAAAAACCTAAAACAATCAAAATATATTGTTTTTCAAACAAACTAAATCATTTTAGATGCTTTTATCTAATTAACTAAATTTTTACGTTATTTATTTCAGTGAAATTCTTTTATAAACCTTTATTAAAATTATAATTTAGCTCAAAAGTAGTGCTCAACTATTTTTATCAATTATAGGTACATATTTTGTAGATTGGAGAATTGTGCTTAATATAAAGTTTTATATTGGTGTAATCATTCAAAAATTTTTTTCAGATATTTTGTTAATTATAATTGCATCACAATAGATAAATTTTCTTTCGATTCCTGAATTGCACGCTCAAATATTTATTGTCTCGCAATTTTTTGTTTAAGCAATCATCTCCAGCTACCGATTTTTAGACATAATTTAGTAGGAATCAACTTTATATTATCAAAAAAAAATAAACTATTTGAAACATCCTGGAGAAATTACTGTATTGTGAATGTTATAATAAAATCCGAATTTTTCATTGTACATTGTTCATTTACAAACAGATAGAATATCCTTTAGTAATACTTCATTTTGAAATCGATATAAAAACACAAGTATTATAATAAAAAAATATATAAATATTTTTGTCGTTAACTACCAATAATTGTAACTCAAGTACCCTTCGGGCGATTCGAATTTTCTCTTCTTGGAATAATCATCGATTAGTAACTGCAATCTGAAAGAAAAATAAATATTTCAATTGGTTTAATCGGTACTATTTTATTAAGTACCTCGTAGTAGCTCCACCGGTGCATTGAGTCTTGCAATTCGGCCCGAACGATACGGCAACAATCCTCAGCAATTTCTGGAACATTCTCCCGTAGCACGTTTCCAGCTCGAATCCGGCCGTTTCCAGGAAAGCGTGGATCAACGTAGCCGTAATATCGATTTGAGGCTCTAACTTTAGAGTAGAAGCCAACCATTTCCAACCGTATTGGATGTTGTAAACGTTCCTGTGGCCTTTTTTCGGCTTCACCACCATTATAGCTGCGTACAATCGCATCAGTCCTGGAAAATTAACGTTTTAATAATAAGTTATGCAGCTACTGTAAAACATTACCCGTCATTCTTTTGAGATATTTATCTTGTTTCTCGATTTGTCCGTTGGGGTATTGGTAGCCTTGTCTTGTGTAGTACATCTCGTCAGTTTCGTCTACTTGCCTCGGAATGTGGTACGGTACTAAATGCGGGCAGTTTTTGTAGAAACACGCTAGTACCAGTTGCCCGAATAAGGGGAATTCGTTCCACAGCGACATGATTACAGTAGCGTAGCAAAAGGCCGAACCGGGGTTGCTCGATATGATCAAATCGCTTTGTAACACGAATTGTTTGGCTAATAAATTCATACAAAAGGAGACTCCCAATGGATGAGCCGAGGCGTTTACTCTGTTGTCGCTGATTATTACGTCCTGGCCTTTTAAAAGTCTGTACAGTTTGTTGTATTTATCTAGGATGTGTTCTGTATTGACGCCGGAGAGTGAATTCACGGGGATGTTTATGGCTTTCTTGCAATCTAGGATGAATTTTTTGTGGGTTTTGTCGGTTTCTAAAGCCTTCAAGCTCGTGGTGAATTTCTCGTAGAAGTCCATCAGTTTCACGTACATTTTTATGTTCGATAAACTCACGAATTTGGTCAAGTTTGTTAGTTCCGGTTGTTCGGTTTGGGAAATGGCCGGTGTAGCAGGAGGTAGAGGTGCAGCGGTAGCTGTAGGAACTTTAGGTTTGGTCGCTTCGACGTGCGATTTTTCAACGGTTTGATTGACTTCGTCGACGCTTTGGCTTATTCTTTTTTCTAGATTTTGTAATTCTGATACGAGTTCAGCGGCTTTTGCGACATCGTTCTCGGTTAGTTTACCGCTCGAGCATCTGCTGATGATTTTGTCAAAGTTTCCTTGAATGACGTTGAGTTGTTTGTAGTCTTCAGAAAGTTTAGATTTTAGCATGTCCGAGTTTACGCATCGCTTCAGGTTCAACAAAATGTGTTCGTAGGAACTTCTGTATGAGGCTTGCAATTTTTTTACGTTATCGATGCAATCGAATAATATTTGCTTTTCTTTTTCTCTCTTTTTTAATTCCTTTTCGTGTTGCTGTCTGCGTAATTCTAATTTTTTGTAGTACAAGGCCAATTGAGCGTGATCGTTTGAGGAGGTTCTATCGTATTCTTCAAGGGCTTGAAATATGTCGTGTTCTTTTTGTTGAATATCGTTGACGAATTGCTGTTGTTTGTTTATCCATTGTTGTTTTCGATGCACTTCTTGATTTTTGGAGAAGTCTTCGAATTGTTTTAACCTAGATTGAACGTTTTTGACCACTTCCTTTTGCCTTTGAACTTCTGCTGCGTAAATGTAATCTTGCACCAGGAGTTTTTGCGCCGGCTGCACGGCGTTTGCTTCGTTTTTATCATTTTCCTTTTGTAAATCTAAATGAATTGGTTCAGTCCGTTGTTGTTTATTTTCGTCAGTTGTCGTATTACTGATATTAAGTTTTTGTAATTTAGTTAACACCGATGTTTTTATTTGCAGCTCCAATACATTCGCATCTTCCATATTTTTAACTAATAACTTCACATTTAACAAATTTCTAACTGCAAAATTATGTTATGTTGTGTTTATTTCACTTTAAAAAAATTGTCAATGTCAACTGTCAAGACAAATGAACTATCAACTAACAAATGTCAAATTGTAAGAAGCCTCTTTTATGTAAGGTATGCAACTATGGTCTTCTTCAGTTTGCATTGAAGCTGGCCTTGTTTATTAGTTTAACTGGTCATTTCTTTATTTTTTATACTAGTTTAAAATTAAAGCTTAACAATAAAGAGCACCACTAACTCTTAAGAGTTACTGGTTTGTGATAAGGAGTTAAAAACGTTAACGTTAAAAAATAGTTACTAAAATTCAGTAATATTATATTAGCAATTTATTATATTATTTATCAAAAAAACTAAAGTTTGGCTGTTTTATAGGTCCTTGAATGATTTAGAGCATCCTTCAAAGCATTCAAAACGTAATCTATGGTGTAGGGATTAGCATTGTAACCCATAACGCCTATTCTTAAAATTTTCCCTGCCGTTGGTCCGAGTCCACCCGCTATTTCAACGTTATGCCTAAAAACCCAATACTTAGAAATTATAATAAAATAAGGAATAAATCGTACTTATTCATGGCGCATTTCACCAATTCCTTCCAATCGAAGTCTTTTACAACGACCGAGGTTACAGTGATTAAACGTTTGCTTTCGTCGTCAACGAAAAATTCAAATCCTAACTTTTCTAGTCCCTTTTTAAGTTGTTTGTATCCTTCTTTATGCTTTTGTTGCCAATTTTTTAAACCTGCTTCGGTTATAATAGCCAAACTCTCTCTTAAGCCTACTAAAAGTGCAGAGCATGTCGTATGGTGATATCTAAAAATGATTAATAAGTATGTAAATTAATAATTTATTTAAAGGAATACGTACGGTCTAACGTTATTGTAACAATTCCACTGTTGACCTAATATCTTCATATCCCAGTAGTAGACTTTGATTGGAGTGGTTCTTTCGAATATCACCTTTCTGAAAGTTTGGTATTATTGTTTAAAATTTTGGTAATTGTTTGTCGACTTACTGAGCTCTTGGACTAAACGAAATTATAGTTAAACCAGGCGGAGCGCCCAAAGCCTTTTGTACACCCGCATAAGCAACGTCGATTTCCCATCGATCCATCAGGAATTCTACAGCTCCAACGGAAGCGACAACGTCTACGGCTAGTAGACAATTGTACCTAAAATAATGAAAATAGAATTTAAGACTACAATAATTTAATAATAAGATTGTTGTATACCTATGGCAAAGAGATCCAATGCCTTCAAGAGGTTGATAAACGCCCGTAGAGGTTTCTCCTTGGACTATAAACAACAATTTGGGAGATTCGGTTTGTAAATAATATTCGATTTCTCTGAGGGTGAAGTTGCTCCCCATATTCGCGGTCATTTTGACGACTTGGGCGTCGTACCTTCCGGCCATATCGGACGCTCTGACTCCCCACAAACCGTTGACGGCTATGAGAACTTTATCACCTGGTTCCAATAGGTTGGACATTACAGCTTCCATACCTGCATGGCCGCTTGCACTTATCGCCAAAGTGAGATCGTTTCTTGTTTGGAACACGTATTTGATTCCTTCCTTAATTTCATCCATTATCTAAACATTTTTTAGGATATTTATTTCACGAACGGTCTCGCGTGCTAAGCAAGCTCGATTTAATTATGTAACCTAACCCGAATTTCATAATAATGTTTGTGTAAGTGAAGTTAAATTTTCAACTGTAACTTTGTTTTGTTAAGGTGAAGTCGAACAGCAACATTTATTTCAAAATCTTTATCTTTTTGTCTCGAATTAATTAATAATTTTTGGACTTACTTGAAATAATTCTTGATTCATGTGGCCTAAAATTGGTTTCGATATGGCATGAAGGACTCTAGGTGAAACATTAGCTGGACCGGCACCCATTAGTATTTTATTAGGAATTTCTAGTGGTTTTTTCAGAATTTCAGGCGCTGGTATATCCATTTTTGATTGATTAAAAGGTACCCTTTATCAAAGTAAATATGTACAATAGAATTCCAACACCAAACGTTATAAATTATAACCAATTGTTACTCGAATTAAAATAACTATAGCAATAACTACAGTTCGAATGTTCGACTGTTGATTAGAACATTTTATCAGTTATTGATATTTAACCTTTTGTTTGTTTACAAATTTTCTTATGTACTCTTACAAAATTGTAGAAATTTTTAATTTATTTGAAACCTTGGCAATTAAGGCAAGAAAAGAACGGTGTATTTTTTATTTTCTTTAATTTTTCATAGTCAAAATATAATAATTATAACCTTATAATATGATAAGCAAAATCGGACACACTATTTATTGAAAAATGCGGAGAACCCGGAAAACAAATTATACATTGAAGCGAAAACAAAAAACATTTTCTCCGTTAAATAAACTTTTTTGCGACATAAAGAAAACAATTTTTTCCTTAAAATAAATAAACAATATGAGGGAACGTTTTCGAAAAAAATGTGCGAGAAATTAAGGGTTTTTCGAAGAAGTTCCTCTATATACAGGATGAGCCAAAAGTGTCATTCTATATTCGTATTTTATATAAATTAAAAACTCCCTGTAAGTGCTAATAAAATTCACGATAATAAACTTACTTTGATACATAGAATTCAATCGACTTACCCTGTATAACATCAATAAAATCATTTATAGTAGGCTCACAGTCTTTTTCTTACATTTATATTTTTTACAAAAAAAATTTAAAAAGTAAAACATTTATTTAACACATATATACAATAATATACAAAAAAAATCATTTACCTATTCCATTATTGCACAATTTCAATAGGTAATAAATTTCGATCTACCACAAATTGTAATTTAAAAAATAAGTCAATTTAATTTATGTCCTAACTACATAAAATTTACATAACATCGTTTCTTTGGAATGGAATAAGTAGATGTGTTACAATTAAAAACCGTTTTGCTTTGTTATATTTATATAAACATTATTTTACATAAAAAAGTTGGCGTGTTTAAGAAAAAACGTGTTTGAAATACACAAAAAATTTGCAGTACTTACACTAAAAACAATTTACGAATAAATCCGAATTATTAAAAGCACTTGTAAACACGCCAAGATTAAGAAATTGTTTTTACTGTTATTTTATAAATAAATCGATAACAGTAAAAATATTTGAGTGTGCATTTGCAATTTGCAATAATAATTCGGATGTTTTCGTAACAGAAAATTTTCCAAATATCTTTTCGTTTTCTCGTCAACATTCTTATAATCCTAATCTGCCGCTATAATATGTACATTCTTTACAAAAATTTTTAAAATATTTTCCATATCCTCTAAATATCTCTTATAACCTTTTTTTGTCTATAATTTCCCTTTTTAGTTAAGTTCCGAAATTTATAAAATATTTCATCTCGTGTAATAGTATTCCCTCTTTGGAAAATGACTATCTCTACCCAGTTTGTGCACACTGTGAGACACAAAAACACGCAACATAATAAATAATAATGGGGTCAATAATAAAGGGTTTTATTAGAAACTCGCTCAACGCTAGGGAAGGGCTCCGCCCCTCCACCCCAGGCTTCGCCGGTTGCATATCAGGTTTATCGAGTTTACTGGTAATTATAATTATACAATAATGAACTGTGCCACATCCGGAACTGCAGCTTGAACGCCTCTCGGCGTTCTACGCAAACTCGTCTATATGATCAAGGTCTCGCTCGCTGCGTGAGCTCGACTTTTAAGGAAATCGCTTTGGTTCATTCCAGCTTGCAATTTGGTCAATTCTATGAGTTAAACAAAGAAATATTATTAAAATAACAGTTGTTAGAGTAAAAAAGTTGCAATGAAAGAGTATCACTCTTTCTTTTTCCTTTATAAGTGTCTAATGGAAGTTGTTTATGTTGCAAACTAAAATGAATCAACCTGTATATGGGATTTTTTCTCCTATTAAACAGATGTACCATATTGAACGATTCAGGACCTGTTTTTGGATCAAATTTAAAATTAAATGTTTTGTTTCTCACTGTGCGTGTTTGGCAATATTAGTTTACAAAAAAATTCTAGACTAGATTTTTGCCATTTAAATAATTGGTTTTAACGGCAAATATTTGTAAAGAATTTTGATGAACCGTTTTGTATGTAAGTGTCTGAGAAAAAAAACGAACTGTAAAACGACAATACTGACTTTTTAGTGTAAAATGCTTAGCTAAATATTTGGTAATTTTTTTCTAAAAGACAACATTCTTGAGATATATTTAGAATAATTCCTATGAGTGTATAAGGGAGGCAACATCTATATGTATACAATAGAAAAAAATTTTAAAAAATTGATATTAGTAAGCAATTCACGATATACAAGGTGGTTCGATTTAAACTCACTTTTTTCATTTTTTATATAGTATAAAATATCTTAATTTTTATAAATAGTAACAATGGTCAATTATAACGGGTGTTCAATAAGAAATGCCCCATATTCGGTTTTAGTTAAATAGGCATAGTTAGAACCATTTAAACAAAAGCACTAAATATAGTAATTTTTCGACTCCACCAGTTTTAATAAATAGTTGGTATCACTGACAATAATAGCTATTAATATTTATCATTGCCAACATACTTTTAATTTATTGCCTTCATTTAAATGGAATTTACTATACATTAAATTAATAATTCAATGGAGTTAAAAATAGTAAAACAGTAAGTATGCAAAACGATAAAAAAATGACATTCTTATTTTATTTTTGAACAGCCGTTATCGTATTTACACATTCCCAAGCGCATTTTTCCACGCAAGAATTGCATCGAGGAAAAATAGCGAAATAATTTTTATACAGCTGCTAGCTTGCTGCCTCGTCAAAATCACAGTTTATATTTACATCAAACCAAATTATAAAAATCTTTCTCTGTTAAGTTACGTATTCGACTGCTTACTGAATAATAGGTGAAACATTTCCATGTACTTGTTGCTAATAGACTTATCCTTTTTAAGATCATTGACGTTGGAATTTAAACTAAATGTTGAAAAGTTTCGATTTGTTTAGGTTTTGAGATTTTAAGAAACTGTAGCAAGATAAGTCTATTAGTCTATAAAACACGTTTTGAAATGATGCAAATTTAAAAGAGGTCAAAATGTTGCACTTTGCCTATTATTCAGTAAAACAATATTAAACTATAGTTAAATTTCAACGTTTTTAACCGTATTATTATTATTGGCAAGATAGACGTGTATTAAAAAGTTTTCGTTGTACTGTGAAGCTCATTTTATTTGCTAAAAAATTGTTCAACATAATTAGTTGTTAAATAGGGTGAAAAACGTCGATGGTCAATTAAAATATATGCGATTAAGTAAAAAATTAGACATTAAATTTTTATAGCCAACAAATCACAAACACAGCTCATTCGTCTGCCTTATCATAGAGCAGCAGCATTGTCTTTATACATTACATACGAGGAGATCGTCAATGACATTACACGTACACACGAAGAATATTTTTGTTAATTAATAAATCGTTTCGTTACAGCCATTTGTGCACATCTTGAGTACCCGGTCGCATTCACACTTCAATATTCTCGTTTGTTGACGATCCGTCTGTTAAAAATTAAGTTTCTTTTAAAAAAATTGACTACACGCAGATAGAAATATTTCTCCCACTATAGCGATTTTTAGGCCCATTTTTATTATCTAAAACAATACCTACGACTCTATTTAACCATTTTTTTTTAACAATTTGAATACTTCAATCGGCAGAAATATTTCTACACGTTCCATTTTTGTAAGTAAATACGACGAACGAAGTAAAAGTAAATATAAAAATACCGACTAGTGTCTACATATTTGTTTGAGGGGTGCAAAAACACTTAGTATTCAGATAATGTGTGTAAAACCGTCCGTTTTCATCATCTTATAATCGCTATGGAGACTAGAGACAGCACCAACAAAAGGACAGTCGGTACCCATAGATGACTCGAGTTCATTTCGGAACTTTCCTGGCATGTACCTGCGAAATAAACCACCTTATAAATGCTAACAGAAGCTTAAATATATGAAAGGTTGGCCAAAAAGTGTGTTGGAACACCGAGTATGCAGGAAATGGAAGATAACTTACCGTTGCTTGTGAAATTGTAGGCCCAATTTCCGGTAACGCCGGGTACGATGTGCCTGTGACAGCTCTCCGTGACGCCGGACATGCGCAAAACGAGCGGACCGATTCCCTTGCCCATGCTGCCCTCTATGATGGGAGCGTTGAGTTGATCCTGTTTGTACATGAAGCAATATTTGGATTCGATCGATTTCTTCGATTGCGACGTCGTTATTACGTACGAAATGCCGTTTTCCTCCCAACTTCCGTGGCAAGTGTACGCTGTAAAATGCACGAATTAGATACCTAAATGGGCTGCAAGAATTAATTCGGCGACTTACATAAAGCCTCCTGCGAGCAAGTCGATTTCAGTTCCATTTCATGGCTACCGCTGCAACCGACCGATAGGGTTTCGTAATAGTCGGAAACGCAATCGGGTTCTTCGTTAGTCACGATGTTTTTGTTTTCTAGAACTGATATTTTAAAATTAAATATTTATAATTCAAGCGATCAATACGGAATGCGATATCGATAAGGAATTGTCTCGACGTATAACCTACCAGGTTGTTGTCTTCGTTTCCTTTTTTCCCCTTGTGTGGCCAGAGCGGCGACCGTATAACGTCCCAAATGCGGGCATTTGTTCGGCCGTAACGTTGTTGCTGAAAATCGCAATAATTAACATCTCTATCGAAGATATTCATTGTAATTTAAATTACTTATTAGCGTCGTGTAAGGTGTGGACGAGGCATCGAATTTCGCACAAGCTTCGTCCGGATTCTCGACGTAATCTTCCGTTTGTTGAATTTCTATAACGTTGGCGTCCCTTTTGTAGAACACCATGCAAACGTAACCGCTGTCGCTGAAATTAACGGAAAAAAAACGAAATGTACACTGCTGCATGAATCAAATAAAAGAAGCCAGTATCACAGTGAAGGGATTCCAATCCATATTAACAACTACAGTGTTACCAAGATGATTTTGTATTGCCTCAAATGTACTTACCATCCGGCTGTAATGTGCGCGACGATCTGAACTTTCTTCTGTTCCTGTTGCTGCAAGATCCCGTGACAGACCAATCGCATTTCGGAGTTCTGTTTGCGCTGTTCTTGCGATTGGAAACCGAACTCCTCGAAGGCGAACGCTTGCGTGTAGCTCGCTTGAACCTTATTGGTTTTGGGCGGTTCGTCGTCCAGAATCTTCAGCGTGGCGTTCCTCAACGAGAACTTGAACGTTTTGTGGTGGTCCAAACTCAGCCACGTGTGGTGTTCGGTTATCCATATCGGGAATTTGCACCGTTTGTGCTGATCGTCTACTGAAATACGCAAATTGATGAGGATAAGGAACAATGGATATTTTATAGAAGCTAAAGAAGAAAGAAGATAAATATAATAATGTAGTAAGCTTACCAGTGGTAAGTTTCATGGTTCTGCTGCCTTCGAAAGCTGTCGCATCTAATCCCGTACACGTGGCATCGCCGCTTTGCGCGACGTTGTAGATGGTTTTCCCATTTTCCGTGCTCCTTTGATAGATGAAACACCTGTATTGGTCTTCATCTGAAGCGCTCCTCCGGTTCGGCTGGGATATTTTACCGATAAGATATCTAGTCGAACCCTCCTTCCACATAGCCAAGCAAACTAATTCTTCGACTGAAAAGTGACGAATTGTTAGAATTTAGAAAGTTTTTGATGGTGGTTTTAGTTTACCGTTGCTTTCCGTGGACGGTACATCCGGACACGCTTGGTACTTGAGCACGAGCCTGGAGTCGTCCGTGCAACTTTCCGCCTTGCTCGGCGGATTGCTGCAGTCGCCCGTCATTCTGTTGTAGCTGAACGTGAACGGGGCGCTTTTGAACGGACAGGGTATCGGTTTGGCCTCCGGGTGCTTCCTGAAGAGACTATAGAGCGGCGCGTCGCCCGTTATTAATTGGCAGAGCTCCGCCAAAGAGGCTTTCGGTTCGCAAAAAGCTACGAAAACGTTAACAAATATAGTTGACAGTACGAGCTGGCGTGCGGGAATGACTTACTTTCTTTATATTGTAAAACACTAGGATGTTTTGGATGAATCACCATGCACATGTAACAGTTGTCAGATCTGTAATGGTAATTGATTGGATTATAAGAGAGTAGTGGAGGTTATGAAGAAAATAGCAAAATGAAAGGACTAAAATTAATCTCTTTAATTAGAATCGGAATTATGGATTTAAATTCCTGGCTAAAGATGAGTTAAGAAAACGATATATCTGATAATTTTCTAAAAACATGAGGTTCTACATCATAGAACATTGTAATTATAGATGAAGAAATAGAAGATAAAAGAGATTAAAACACCACACTTACCTATCATATAATAAATATTTGTCCCCCTGCTCTTCGTAACATTCTCCTTTGGTTTCTATGTAAGTACTATTTATAAAAAGGTAGTTTTGAACTCCGCTTTGGAACCACCTTCCCTGCCACGTCTTTTTGAACTGGCATACACCTGAAACGAAACAAGAAAGCCTGTGAGAAATTTCAATCCCGAATATAGCAGGAAATACTTGAAGGTAAATTATTAATCCGCCATGGCGCTCAGGTAGATACGGGAAATATTTGTGTTCGGGAAGTAAAATGAAATTTCTTTTTATTTATTGTATATGCCGAAATAAAAGTCTGCAGGGCGGACATATGTTTTCGCGTAATGCGCATAAAACGGCTATATATTGGTTATGTTGGATGTGCGAAGGAAGAAAGGCAGAGGTGGAGCTAAATTCGAGAGCTTGTCGTAAAATATTAATGTAACGTATTTCCAGGCGGGTTAATTTCTTTTTGGGTATGGGGCAATCTAAAAATTACGCCCCGGGATATATGGATTTTCGTTTCAAAAAATGCCAGATACAGCGTTGCGAATTGTTTTAATAATGAAAAATTTACCGTTCTTTATTATATCTACCTCCGTCGAGTCGGATGAAATTTTCCGTTTAAAAAACGCCATTTCCAATAAATGTAAGTACGTGACTTCACAATCAATGAAACGTAAATATATATGCTCTCAGCCCGTAATATCCCCAACAAAAATAATATAATTCCTCGTATTATTTTCTTCTCAGTGCAGTCGAATAAAAATACGGCTGCGATATTGATCATTTTTCATTCGCAATGACCTAAAAGCCTGATTTACTATGTTGTTTTCATTTCTGTATATAACAGCGACGGTTTTATAAAAATAAATAATATTAATGGTAGCCGGAGTACCGACTCTGATGCCGCGTTTTCAAATAGAGAACCATAAAAAATAATTGTTCGCCGGCGTTTTTTTTTCACGTTTTCCCCATTACCGTACGGCCGCGAGGAGATTTATTGCGAACGTGGAATCGAAGGCTATCGTTGAAATCAATAATTTCATTCACAATAATTAATACGAGCAAATAGTTCCCTTAGGTTTCCGTAGGTAGATAATTGGCTCTCTGGAACTCGTAAGATGGTACGTAAATCAAAAGTATTTGTTAAATTAATTAATAAATATCTTGAGTATTATGATACCTAATTTACTCTTTTTGTTAAATTTTCTTAGATAGTTATGAAATAGTTTTTGGTACTTTTAGACACAACTTTAATCTTGATTATGTAGATATGAAGATAACTTGCCTCATTTCTTGTCGAAATCTAGAATATTGTATAGAATATTTCGTTAGGTAATCGTTATTATTAAACATCCAATCAATGAATCACGACCGGTGGATTACACATAAGCCCGACTACCGTCCATTAGTACCGAATCCTCGTCCCTAAAGTCGCCCGAAAATATAATAATTTCCATTTTGATAACCGGCTCGAGTTCCCGACGGGGCCGGGGGCGGCTCGCCTGTCACGAGTCCCGACATTTCTACGTGCATTTGTTTATGTTTGGCTGGCTGAGATATCGCAGCAGCCTTTGAAAATCGGGGACGTGCCTTGACAGAAACAATATCGCATCGCCCGAAAATTGTTTCGGATCCGCGACATTGATATTCCGCCGGAGTAGGCGCTTACCTACGAAGACGACGCCGACGTCACCGACGCCCGACGACGGCGACGTTGAATCCGCGAATCGTAATTATAATATTCATAATAGAAAACGGGAATGGAAATGCGAACATAAAAGATGCGAGCGAATCCTACCGACTGCGCCAAATATTGTTTGAAGCCGGCAATTATTATAATTGGCATAGAGGAAGAAGGTTTATGATTTGCAGGTATAGGAAAACAAGACTAAGTTTTAAATGCCTTCAGTTTAATCTTGTTTGGATTCATCCTCTCTACTATTGCTATTAAATACTAGGGTATATAATAATCAATATCTCGGAAAAAAAGAGTAGGTATTTCGCAACGGTACGGGGAGTATTAAGGGACGAGAACGGGAGCCGACAACCCTTCCGGAATAGTTTGGGGTATATCATTTGATGTAATTAGAAAATCTGGCCGCCGCAGAACGTTCCAGATTGTTCCGGGATGCGAGGAAGGCCCGCAAGGGACGAAAAAGAGCGGAAAAGGAGGTGCGGGGAGCGGGCAACCGGTTCGAAGTTAAAGGCACGCCGACGATACCCTTTAGGTCCTTGGGACACGAATACCGTTCTAATATACCTAAACGGGGAGGTAAATGGATTTTTTTCTTTCTCTGCGCTCTGATGAAGGTTGAAGAGGGTTTCCGAAATTCGGGTCTGTCAATGCAAAAATCTCCGCGTCATTAAATCGATCTTTGAATTTTTTCAAACCTACATCTAGCTTATAAAAAATTATGTTGTAATTAAAAAGTTATTTGTATTCTAAATTTAAACTTCTATCGATATTTCATAAATTGATCTAAGTTTTTTGTTTATCATTTCAATAAGACTTTTGGCTTTATTTATATTTATAAAGTAGTAAATTTTTGGTGATATTTTGAAGCAAAAACAGACATCCGGAAAAGTTGAAAAACTTAAAACAAAACCGTCGAATTCCGCACGTCTCTCATTTAATAGCGCCGACGACTGTGCAGTGCAACTCCATTTACGCAAAATGTAATTTTCAGAAATCCTTTACGGACGGCCAACAGGTCATTCCGGTTGATTATTAAAAGGCCCTCCTCTCGTCTCGCGAACATTGCTATCATAATTATTTATGCTCAGAAACACACATACGATTTCCTGGAGTCGAGTCGCTTCGTTGGCAGGTTGTTTTATGTAGCTCTCTTCGGGTCCTATGCGACTTTATATGCTCAACCGGCGGCGGCAGCGGCAGTCGTTTAATCAAAATTCCCGCCGTCGTTGTCATAGTTTTCAGCCGAGAGGGCATTTCAGTTCTCCCGTAGAAGATAATAGTGCACATTTTGTTGCCTATTTTAAAACTAATATACAAGGTGGTGCTAAGTAACAAGTTCATAAGAATGACGGACTTTTGCTGAGACAAAAAATAACAAAAATCATAGATTCTCATGTTTTTATAGCTCCTGTATTAGGAAAATTGAGCTGAAAAACTCACATCATTGAGTAGGTAAGTTAAATGAAAGCCTATAATAGAGGAGCTTATTTTTTTAGAAAACACATTGTGGAACAATAACAATGTTTACAAAAAGACAATTCAACTAAAAAAATCCACCAAACTGACAAAAGTGAAAAACGATGTCTACATTTCCAGCGATTCCTGACTATTATTAGACAATTATTATTCATTTGAAAATGCCGGTTGATTTGGATAATGTGTTATTGACATGCAAACATGTTGTTACGATTCTTTTTGTACGAATGCCGGTAGTTTTTCGATCTCCATTTAAAAATGAATAATACCATTATGATAAGTATCCTCGTTACTATCAATTCCTTTCTGTTAGAGGGACAGGGCATGTCGATCAAATGATAATGGTGGATTTAAACACAAAAGATAATAACATTAAATGCTATATTAAAATAAGAAAACTATAAAAAGGGTGGTTTCTAATTCCAGTGATGACTGAACAAAATAAGACCTTCAAATTGGAAAAAATAGAGAAAATAACTTCTAATACTTATGTATGTTTTTATCACCTTTTTGCACTAAAAATATTGTTCGCAACCTCACATTTACCTCGCACTTTGACTAATTTCCTCAACGCGAAAACTCGAAATTACACGTAGAACGCGGCATGGAGCTTTTCTGCATTTTCCGTCGTCCTAACGACATTGCTAAATGAACGTAATCCGACGTTTCGAGCTATTTGTGCGCCGTTCAACATCTGCGACCCGTTTAAGGGACATTTTACCGGAAACTTTCGAGCGTTCTTATTCGCACTTCGATTATGAGAAAGATCGCTTTAAATAGATACAACTAACAGGTACATAAGCTTTATTAAAAACATAATCAAATGTCATTATTATTTGTAATTAGTGACATTTGACGTGCAAGGTATATTTTTAATGTTTTCTGGTGCGTTACTGGCAAAAGGAATAATCCGTCCCTGTAATATAGAGAAGCTTAATTGTGTTCGGTTCTTAATACATCTTTAACAATCGAATTAGCATACTCGAAGGAAGTGGAACTCCTCGAGGACTTTTTACCGCGCCTCTAAAGGGTTACGATCAAATAAAAATAATTAAAGTTCCCTCTCGGATGTCTTTTGGGGTACGTGACGCAAAAAATTCCGTGATTACACTGAGAAATTAAATCGCTGAAGGGCAGAGGGTAGGAAATGATAAATAAACGCGGGTTCTTAATTAAGAAATTGACGTGTTGTTTTTGTAAATTAAGGAGATTTTGATGTACGTCGAACTTCAAATAGCGTGTGTATAAAAACTGTAAGTAATTCAAGTAACTTTATTTATCTGCTAACAAATTCCGAGCGAAAAGGAACGGAACAAATTCGAAAAAATAAAATAAATTGATTTAGCGCGAGACAATGAAAGATCGTTTAAATTTCAAAAGAAACAGATAAATCGACTAGAAAAAGAAGACATTGGCTCGTTTTGTTTCGTTCGTATTTTGTTAAGAGAGCCCGGGACGTTATCAAAACAAAAGGCTCCGGAGAAGCACCTTTCCGGAGATTTTATCGATGAGGCTCTATATCCCCTTGTATTGTATTATCAGGTGTAACTGTTTTATTTTTCGCCATTTGTAACGTTTCCATCGTCGAATTTACTTCTTAGCAGACATTTTGACGTAAATGTCAAAAGTGAATGAATAATTGATAACATTTGACATTTACGTCAAAATTGCGTAATTTTATACAAACAGCTTATACTTGTTTGCGTTAAAGTTTTAAATACCCGTTCGAACGAAATTTCGTCTTGTTCACATAAATTTCCATTTTTCAATTACGCTCCGAACGCGATCCACCCAGATGCTTATTTCTCAATTACAAAATAAACGATATTTACTCGAACACGATATTCGGGGATGTCAATCAACACGAGCGCGACCTGTCAAACTTGTAATGCCGGAGTTTTATTAATGGCAGTCGGGCTTTTTGTTATGTTCTACCAAGTATTCGATCATTTTCTATACGTCGAGAGTGGATTAGGGACTTTTCCGGAGGGCCGTTCGAAAGGTGTTTCAAAGAGAGAGGAGAGGGATATTAGTTTTGTATCCCATACAATTTGTTGTACAGGAAAATTAATATCGCACATTAATGGCAGAACTCGCGCAAATGCGGAATGTTGAGATAATTTTATGCTGAATTTCAAAAAATTAGTTTTTCTTATATACTTCGTCGAATTAAGTGATACTTTTGAAGTTAAAATTAATGTCTAGAACTTGTAACTCTACAATAGATATAAAAATATCCATTTTAGATAAATAAAATTTCACTATCTAAATATCATTCAAATTGACAAGTCTTCAAAATCATAAAAATAATATGTAAAATAATTAAAAAATCTTCGTATTTCCGAAACGTGAAAAAAATTATTATCCTTATTCCATTGGTTTTAAGGGTGCTCAGCTGCGTTAAAAGTTTTTCAATTTTAAAACCTGTAAATCAGACCAAATTGAAGCAACGTATAAACGGCGCTCGGGGATTCACTCATAATTGCTTATTGTGTCTATATTCCTCTTGTCGCAACAAGCTGCGCCCGTACGTCGTACCTGAGAGAAGGCTCTAACTGTCACATTATGGATATCTTTAAAATAATAATGTCGTTTCTTTCGTCCGGATTTTTTTTATATCGATTTTCCGCTCGCGATGTTTCATCCATGGGGATTCGAACGAACGTGACATCGAGCTGAGTAAGAATACATCCTGCTCGGAATGCCAAATTTTCTGATGTAATACAAAAACTTTGTCGAGTCGGAGATCGAAAAATTTACAATTGGCAATAAATTGTCTAAAAACTATAGTTATTTTATCACAAAAGAGTCGTGACATCCTTCTTTAGAATAACTTGAAGCTAAAAGTTTAAAAAACTTTTTTGAGATACTATTATAAAAATATTATATTATAATTTCATTGTTTTTAATTAAGTAATCATAATTTAATATTTTGCTGGAGTAGAGTAGAGTGTAACAAAATTTTCCCGGATCTACTACCATCACAATATCAGTCCGGGAAAATTGTTATTCTTAACTTTGCCTCCGGCAAATAAATTGATTCAATATCCCCGGCTGCAGTTTCCATAATCCTCATTGGAAATAATATTTAAGTTTTCCAACAAGAAAAGTTATCGGAGGGAAATCGCCTTCGACGGTGTGTTCCCGGGAGACTTCGAAGATTATACCTTTCGCGTTCCTGCTGAAACATTTAATGGTTTTTTCATTTAATCCCCGCGCGATGTCGTACATTTCAAAAAGTCGATTTGGCGATGGCGTTGTTTTATTGGCGAAGGCCGAGTTAATTAAACAATAGCAAAGGAAAATCCCTGTTCGAAACCGATTAAATATGTAGATGCGCTCGTCAAAG